CGCACGCAATTCGCACGGTCGGAGATTGCATTCGGGGGGTGATTACCTACCCGCTTGAAAATGCGGTCCACGTTCCACAGGCCCTCTCGGCGTGCGGCACGGGGCTATACGCGAGCACGGCGCGTGTGTATGGGACAGCCCTTATAAGGAAACGTGTTCAAGCCGTGCATTGTTGCTCTAATTGTTCATGTTAATTAGGAAGGGGGGAGGAGACGCAGAAGGGGAGGGGGGGTGTTATATCCAATCTCCCACCCACTCAGCACCCCAGCCCACTCCCCGCTTCACAATTAACACACCGCTTGACTGCACCAGAACAGTACACACCTCCTTGTGCATCTCCTTCTTCCTAACCAAGCCCACTCGGCTGGCCATTCACCCGGCCACACCACGGACTCAGCCACTCAGCCCTCCAGCCTCCAGGTCTCGCCTCTTGCCCGTCGTCATTATCATCATCAACAACAACAACGCCACCTCGCTCCGACAAAATCTCGATCTCTCTAACTCCAGGGTATCCACGCCGAGAATGGAATTCACGAGTCCGTTTGAATCCGATTTGCACAGATTGGGCTGGGCTGGATAAATTTATCCAGTCATCTCTTCGATCTAGTTATAGATTTAGAGATCATTTGGGGGGGAGGGGGGGGGTGTGTATCGCGTTTGCTGCTTGGTGTGAAGACCGACGTTCCGCTGTCCACGTGTTTTTCGGGAAGCTTCCGGCACGTGCAGCGAAACGTCGGCACATCGTGGCGAGCAAGCACGTGGTGCAACTCGGAAACACCGCGGAGAGAGGCGGAACGGCAACAACCGCGAATAGAAAACGTATCAGTAATTTGTTCTCTTCCTGAATAAGGCAGTTTAATTTGCTTTCATATAGAGCGCAGGTTGTCGACCGGATCTTAAAAAAAAAAATCTGAATCCATTGAAATCTTGAGTCGAACGGACCATGCGCAGATCGCGTGCCGCGCCACGAGGTCACGGCACGCACTGAACGACGTCACGGACTCGCTCCGCTGTGACGTCACTGTGACCTATCTGACGGTCGATAAACCACGCAGGGATTAACCAGGGGATGCCTCTCGGATTCGAACCGCGAAATCTCGGCAACAAGCGGCCAACGCGCGACCTCTGGAGCCAGGTCACACACACGCACACTCTTACAAAATAGATTACAATTATAAGGCCATGCAAATGAGTGTGTGTGTGTGCGCGTGGCAATTATTTTGAAACCGGTCCTGAGCCTTCCTCTAAGTTCGGCTCAGCCTTAAATGAGTACCTGGCGGCGTGTGTAAGCATCAGCGTGTTGGGAGACAAAGGCGGCCGGGCGTGGTGCAAGGCACCGCACTCCGTGTGACGACGCAGCTGGCCCCTAACATCGCTTGGCCTCGAGTCTATTAAACGGCTCCACCGGGCAGGGATCTTGGCCTTTTTGCGTTACTTTGTAAACAAATAAAACAAAAAATGCGCTACCCCGTCGTGAGTTTTGTTTCTTTTGCTTGAAAGTGTCAACAAATGGTAACGCGCGTGCGTTTACCAATGGAAGCAGACGGATGGGTTCCGCACGATGCTCGCTCTGCGTCGCTTCCGCGTGTCGTGGATTAGCTACAGTCTATATTGTAGACTGCATCTGGCTAGTGGGAGGGGGGGGGGGCGATGACATCGCATAGCAAGGAGTGACAATGCAACGAGCGCACTGCCAACCTGAGTTCGAGTCCCGGGCAGAGCTCCGGTCGGTGGTGAGTGACATCTGAACTCCCAACCCCCTCCACCATCACCACTCCCCCACCACCGCCACCAACCAACATGGTGAAGTATGGTCAAACACAACCCCCCATGACGAACACCAGCAGGATGGGCAGGAGGCCTTCACCCATCAGTGGCGTGACACATGGATGTACATTATCATAACAATGCATCGTTGTTGTCATTATTATAAGGCTTATTATTTGCGTTATTACATCACTTCGGCTCGCACGTACACGCATACACACAGACGCACCCCCTGTGTCCTTACATCATGCACATTGCATCACGCCGCGTTATTTAGAAAGAGCACCGGCCATCCGTGACACTCCTGGACACGCGTGAAGAAAAAGAAGAGCTTCAACAGCTCATCGTATTCCCTCCACTGTGAATACAACAAACAACAAACACAATCGGATGCTGAACACGACTTGCGAACGCCGACGGACTTTAACGTAATACTTGGTGGGCGCTTTATTTTAACAAAAATACTTTGACGGTGTGGAAACTACAAGGGCCCTCGCCCCCTAGCCCCGCCCCTACCTCCCCTAGCCCCTTCCCCCTACCTCCCTAGCCCCGCCCCTACCTCCCCTAGCCTCACCCCCTACCTCCCCTAGCCCCTCCCCCTACCTCCCTAGCCCCGCCCCTACCTCCCCTAGCCTCACCCCCTACCTCCGCTAGCCCCGCCCCCCGCCACCCACGATGCTCGTGGGACCAATTTTGACAGACTCTGGCTCAGAGAACGGCAGAAGGCGATGGGAGGAGGCGCGGGTCGAGAGTTCGTTTGGTCGGCGCGAGTCGCAGGCGACGTCAGGGCGGTGGAGTCGCGTGAGTGGCTCAAGCAGGCCGAGTGAACAACACCAGACAACACTTGCTGGTAAGGGGCCGTCCATAAATGACGTCACGCGGTTTTGGACGATTTTTGACCCCTCCCCCCCCTTCGTCACACGGCGTCACAAAAGTCAGACCCCCCCTCAAATATGACGTCACAAAGCTCTGCCCCCCCCAAAAAAAAATAAAACATGCTTCAAATCGCTTTAAACTATTGTCATTGTAGTGCGTATTTAATGTGGCGCTGCACTCGGATGTAGGAGAACACGTTTATCAAAAAGTCTATTTAATTAAGTAGAACGTGTTGTCTATATTTATTTAAAATTGCGCATTTTGATGTGACGTCACATTTCTTAACCCCCCCCCACCCTCGTCACACATCGTCACAAATGTCTCACCCCCCCCCCCCCCAGGTGCGTGACGTCATTTATGGACGGCCCCTAATGAGAGCTCTGAATAAGTAAATAAATACGTAGAACGCATTGATGCCCTCACCCCCACCCCGCGCCCCCCTTTCGCATGCCCGAGTGGGTGGCCACAATACTTTTAACCGCGAGGAATCGATTCGCGTGCACGTGTCCACGATACTTTATCATTACCCTTGCCCTGTGTGCGCCTTTGCCTTTGTTTTTGTGTGTTTTGCCAAGGAGCGGTGGCGCAGCGGTCAGCGCGTTGCGTTACGAACTCCGAAACGTGAGTTCAATTCCCCGCTCACGGCCAACAACAGTGGCGAACATTTGAACCGGTCCTGGGCCTCCCCTAGGTTAACTCAGCCTTAAATGAGTATTTGGTGTGTAAACATCAGCACTGGGGGAGACAAAGGCGGCCGGGCGTGGTTGTTGGCCACCCACCCCATCGTGTGCCGTGCCGGCCTTCATAGGTGCTCGCTAACAGCACTTGCCCCAACAACCTGTTAATGCTATACGGGGGATCCTTGTGTGTCTTTGTGTGCCTTTTGTGTGTCTTTTGTGTGTCTTTGTGTGTCTTTGTGTGTCTTCGTGTAAGCGTGTTTCCTTTCAACACAATACCAGTCCACGTCATCTGTCCGCATTCGACACAAACTCACAGGCTGGCGACGTCATCTTTGTTTCTGAGCACGCTGTAAATTGGCACCCCACGTTACCTATACCCCCTCCCCCATCACCTATATACCCCCATTATCTATACCCCTATTACCTATACCCCCATTACCTATACCCCCTCCCCCATTACCTATACCCCCGTTACCTATACCCCCATTACCTATAACCCCTCCCACATTACCTATACCACCTCCCCTCCGTTCCCTATACCCCATGGCAATTGTGTAGATACGCACTTGCGTGACCAAAAGCTTGGCTTTTACACAGTGGAAAATCATCGCACGGGTTCACATACAAAATAGCGATCACGCGCCACTCAACAAATTCCCATTCGTGGCCACACCGCAACAACAACAACAACGATGAACAAACAAAACGAAATTGATTTCAATGTCCTTGATTCTCCCTCCCGATATTTCCGAGTGGTCGAATACCTGGATGCACATTGTGGGATCTCTGCCTCTTGTGTACCGAGTAAGGATCGCCACCTCTGATGTCATTCAACAAGACCAGAACCTGGACCTATCATTGGCAGAAGACGAATAATAATAATAATCTCGCTGTGCTGGAAGAGAGAAGAGCTACGTGTAATGACATTGTCTTGAGTGCTGCTGCTGCTGCTGCATTATTATTATGGTGGTGGTGTTGTTATCATTATTACTAACAACGCCACTAGCGCATGCCAGGATGTTTTATAGTTCCCCGGGGCAGACTTTTAGAGATTTACAGCCAGGACAAGCGGCCCTTTGGCAACAAGAAGGGGGCCCATCCTGAAGGGAGTGGGCTGGGTGGCTACGCGAGACCAGGCGGAAACGCGACATTGTCCCTGCCGTGCGCGTCGCGCGTTCAGTTTGCGTCCCAACACACGAGGGGAGGGGGTGGAGGGGAGGGAGGGAGGGGTGGAGGGGAGGGAGGGGGGGATGGGAGGGAGGGGGAGGGAGGGGGAGGGAGGGAAGGGATTATCTTTGCCTTCGGAGAATCAACACGGGCTCAACAGCTTCCATAGCGGGCAACAAGAAAAAAAAACCTTTAAGTCACAATTGCTTCCGCTATCGGTGTGTCGCGTTATATTTTGTATCAAGAGGACGAATAAGCGACTCAACTAAGGCATGATGACGCACGTCACGTTTAGCCGGCAACTGGAAAGGAAAATATAACACTGTAACAAATAAACTATTTGTTCCTGGGTACTAAGTGCTATTTGCTAATTGCTTATGCCTCAAAAGTACAGAAAATGGCTATTATTATTCCCCACAAACTTTGCTTTTGTGACCAGAACAGTGATATTTTGAAATGTAGCTATTTTCAATGAGAAAACGTGGTGTGCATTTGTGTAATTTTTTCATGTAATGTCCTGATCACAAAAGCAAAGTTTGTGGGGAATAATAGTACCCAGGAACAAAAATCGTGTTACTAGTGATATAATCTACGTCGGTGTGGGGCTCAGCTCGCTCGTGTGTGCGGGGCTATCTAAGCGGGTGGTAGCGCAGTGGTTAGCGCGCCGCGCTACGAATCCGGAGACCCTTGTTCGAGTCTCGTTCACGGTCAACGCCAGCGACGATTATCTGAACCGGTTCCTGAGCCTCCCGTAGGTTCCACTCAGTCTCAAATGAGTACCTGGGTGCGATGTGCAAGCATCGCCACGAGGAAGACAAACGCGGCCGAGCGTTGTGCTGGCGATCCCACCACCTCGTGAGCCGTGGCGACCTTCATAGGTGCTGCTACTCGCTAACAGCAAAACTTGCCCCAACAGTCTGTTAAGGCTTCTACGGGGAATCTTTGTCTGTAAGTATTAACAACGCAAGAGAGGGGTGAAGGAAGGAGCCACCTGCACATGGGATGTGGCGAGGGAGTGAGGGCACTCAATTGGTGGCGCTTGGCGACACCATACGAAGCAAAATGACGCAGGGCCTCAAGCGGCACACAAGGGAAGCCCGATTCATGGCAACGATCTGAATGCGTCAAAATAACCATATGGCGAGACCGAATACCAGCTCGAACGCTTTATATTGAAGAAAAAAAAAGAAGACTCAATAAATAACAAGCTTATTGTTGCAACAACAACCAAGACCGCTTAAAATTATTGTCATTAGAGAGTTAATTAAGTCGTCAGGCAGCCGTGGTGCAGCTGTTGAGCTGTTGAGGTTGCTCATCGTGTGGCAATGAATGAATGGAGGCATGGGTTGGGGACCATGAATGAACGGAGGCATGGGTTGGGGACCACGAATGAACGGAGGCATGGGTTGGGGACCAGCGCTTAGGAGACGAGTTGGGTTCTGAGACAGACAGAGAGAGAGAGCGAACTCTTGTCGGCTGCATTGCCTCTAGCGACGCGAAGACACGTGGGTTGGTGGTGGTGGTGGTGGCGATGTTGCCAACCATCTCTGCCTCGGAAGCGAAAACATTTTTTGGGGGGGTGGGGGGGTGCGGGAGATCGGGAGGGCGAGGGGGGGGTCCATATAAACCCTGTGTTAGTATCGACAAATATAGGCGCAACAGACGCTAGTTCACAGATATACAGCGCAACAAAGATACTTGTAGAATGGCATGCCCAACACAAAAACAAACGAACGAAAAACAAACCCCAAACTATATCATACCCAAACGGGTTGAACATTAACAACAAGTATATTAGCGGCATACTCTTTTTTTTCTTCTGATATGCATTTGTGAAAGGGTATTTACACATTATCATACGATAGAGCATGCTAGGAGACGGACAGCTCGTTATGTGTACGCGTTATATTAAACGGGGGAACTGTGACTTAACCACAGGCATTCGGATGAATTACAAGTGCATTTCTTTTTTTTATTCCATAATGAATATACCTGGTCTACACGTCAGCTGTTCTTCGGTGTTAATAAGGACCAGGCCATTCGTTTTCATCATCATCACATTGGGTCGAGACGCCTTTCGCATGCTGCTTATATTTGAACCCTTCACACTGGAGCTACCACTTCTATATCGGCATACAAAGTAAACGCCTCCCCTTTATTTGCGGGGACCGAATGCTTATTAATTGAAGTACAGCCAGCGATAATAATGATCGTAACAATAATTCATAACAACAACAACAATAATAACATAGCAATTGCTGTAAACTTTAAATGTGGCGGTTATACAACTTGTAATAAATACTGCATTCAGAGCTGGTGACTGTAAAAAGCGTGTAGGTTTCATTTTTTTCAATTATCTGATTATAATTTTTTTGTCATTTCATATTTTTTTGTTTAATTTTAGTTTTTTTTCCCCCGTAAGGTTTTTTAAGAAAGTAAACATCACAATTATTGCCCTTAAGTATGTACAAATGTTTATCTTTATTTTGTTTCTCTCTTTCATCTGTAGTTAATTCTATTTCACTGTGCGTGGGTGCACTCGATTATCGAGAATATGGTGACCAATCGATCAATGAATTAATCGTAGGAAACGGTTAAAATGTGGGGATGAATACCTGCTGATGCGTTTGGAAGAAGGGTGGTGTTTTTTTTGCCACCCAAATAATCGGAACTCTTCCCTCTCAAGGATAGTTCAAATTATAGGATTAGAATTAAAGTATCAGGCTGCCTACTTTTTGTTTGTTTTGCCAGCCAACCAACAGCCGAGGAAGACTTAACGCTCGAAATCATGAATACGCTTTGCAACAAAAACAAAACGTGGTTGCTAAATAACTCCACGAAAGATGCTTAATCACCTAAATCAAACATAGAGTCATATTCACGCATATGTATATTAAAACAAACAAACAAACAATACGGATATTATATTAGAGGCATTCCACGCGCGACTCAAATACGTTTTGGCTTTACGAAACGTAATCGATGTTATGTTCTTGTAAATGTTAAGTAAATAAATACACGAAATAAATAAGTAGCATTCGACAAGGAAATAAACGCCGGTGCAAAATGTAACATAAAGTGCAGTCTATGGAGAGTTACCCTATTCATAGCGTCTATTGTAAAAAAACCAACAGACGCTTAACACGCACTCATTTACATAGTATCTGTATTGCTCATTAACACGGCTTGCCATTTATAAAAGAGGGTGGGGGGGAGTAGAGGGAGGAGGGGAGAGGGGGTGCTCAAATTGCCCCCTTAAAAGAGATCATTTTTGTGAGGCTTGGGGGTTAGGGGTGAAATGATTCTGTGGATAAGAGGAACACACAGAGAGAGAAAGAGAGACATTAACAGACAGACACAAATGTTGAAATACAGACAGAGGTGAGACGGTGGCAGTGACAGAGAGACTGACAACAGCATGGCTGAGAGACAGACAGGCGGACAATAGGGACAGAGAAGCTCACGTGGAGAGGTTGGGGGAGGGGGGGGTTGTGGTGAGGTTGTTTGTGATGCAGGGATAAACACACGCCACGGATATTCCTGTTGTCAACACACGTACAATATACAGCGGCACGAGCAGTGATGGACGTATAGGTTACGCGATGCTGAGCATTCCCTGGATGAGACTGACTGGCGCTGGGAACGTTGGTCAGTCAGACTCTTTCACACAAGTACACGCGCAGAAGTATTGGGGGGAGAGAGGGGGGGTGTGGGAGGGGTGGTGGGGGAGAGTTCCGTTTCATAAAAAAACGTGGCCTTGAGTCAAGACCGGGGGTTTACGAGTTGAACCCGAGTATAAAATATCCGCGAATCCAGAGAAGTATACCAGTCTCCTTTGAAAACAAAACGGGCAGTGGTGGAACCTTGCTCGTTACCCAACACGGGCAGCCCGATAGGTGGAGTTGTTTGACTTCGTAAATTCATAATACTTGGACTTTTTGCAAGTTGATAAAAAAACAGGAATGCGAAATTAAAACGACGAACTCTCCGTCTCGCTATCTCACTCACGCACGCACACAACCAAAAAATGTTTTGGTTCCATTGGAAGACCTGTGTCATTTGATTCGATTACTCAAAACAATAAGGAAGAACACTCTTTTGGAAGATAATGATTGAAATATAAACTGCATATCTGTTTTCCTTCTGTCACCACCGCCACCACCATCATCACCATCATGCTGCTGCTGCTGCTGTCAACATAACTTCCCACCGGGTGTCGCTCCTTGCTTGTCATTCACTCCCATCTCCATCATCGCTCCATCATCTCTCACAGCAGCAGCAACGGCGGCGACGATGGTAGCTGCTGCGGCTGCGGCTGCCGCTGGTGTAGCGGTGCGGTGTCGTCTCTCTCTCTCTCAGCTGTCATCTTCGCTGTTCCCCCCGGCTTTGAAGCACGCCGACTCGTAGTGCTTATTCAGGTAGGACTTGAGCGCGAACGTCTTGCTGCAGCGCTTGCACTGGAAGTGCTTGAACGCCGAGTGGGTCTGCATGTGCGCGCGCAGGTTGGAACGGTCCGCGAACGCCTTCCCGCAGTGCGCGCAGCCGAAGGGCTTCTCGCCCGTGTGCGAGCGCATGTGGCCCTGCAGCAGCCAGGGCCTGCTGAACGCCTTGCTGCACACGTTGCACTTGTGCTTGAGGTCGTGCGTGAGCACGTGCATGGCGAGCGCGGGCATCGACACGTACACCTTGTTGCACGTGGGGCACTTCTTGGCCATCTTGCTCTCGAGGCTGCGGTGCGTCTGCTTGTGCCGGCTCAGGTTGGACGAGGTGGCGTACGTCTTGCCGCACTCGCCGCACGTGTGTCTCAGCTGCGTGCCGCCGCCCGGCTCCTTGTTGGCTCCCGTCGGTGGGCCGCTGCTCCTCGCACCGCCGACTCCGACTCCTCCTCCTCCTCCGACGACTCCTCTCACGCCGTCTCCACCTCTTCCGTCGCCGCCACCACCGCCACCGCCGCCGCCGCCGTCTCCTCCTCCTCCTCCTCCTGCTCTGCCGTCGCAGGCGGCGACGTTGCACTTGCTGCGTCTGGAGCGGCCGTCCGTGATGAAGAAGGCGTCCATGGCATAGCCGTCACTCGCCGCGGTGTCGGCGTCGAGGAGAGACGTCGCTGCGTCCGAGCGAGGACTGTCCGGCTGCTCCGCCTCGCCGCTGCTGAAGTCGTCGCTGTTGGCGGTCGAGTAGGCCGACTCGGGGGACGCGATCTTGACCCCGTCCAGCGCCTCTCCCCCGTACATGCTGGGCGCGATGAAGTCGCTGATGTAGCCTAGGTGGTGATGGCGGTGGTGGTGGTGGTGATGATGGTGGTAACGGCACCGGAGGAGGAGGAGGAGAGAGAGATTGAATGAAAGAGATGGGTCGAGAGAGAGGGAGATGGAACGACAGAGAGAGAGAGAGATGGAATGAAAGATAGTGAGATGGAACGAGAGAGATGGGACGAGAGAGAGATGGAATGAGAGAGGGAGATGGAATGACAGATAGTGAGATGGAACGAGAGAGAGGGAGATGGAATGACAGATAGTGAGATGGAACGAGAGATAGAGAGATGGGACGAGAGAGAGATGGAACGAGAGAGAGAGATGAAATGAGAGATATTGAGATGGAACGAGAGAGCGATGGAACGAGAGAGAGAGAAATGTAACGAGAGATAGTGAGACGGAACGAGAGAGAGGGAGATGGAATGAAAGATAGTGAGATGGAACGAGAGAGATGGGACGAGAGACAAATGGAACGAGAGAGAGAAATGGAACGAGAGAGAGATAAATGGAACGAGAGAGAGAGAAATGGAACGAGAGAGAGAGAAATGGAACGAGAGAGAGATGGAACGAGAGAGAGGGAGATGGAACGAGAGAGAGATAGATGGAACGAGAGAGAGGGCGATGGAACAAGAGAGATTGAATGAAAGATAGTGAGATGGAACGAGAAAGAAATGGGACGAGAGAGAGATGGGACGAGAGAGAGGGATGGAACGAGAGAGAGAGAGATGGAACGAGAGAGAGAGATGGAACGAGAGAGAGGGAGATGGAACGAGAGAGATGAAATGAAAGATAGTGAGATGGAACGAGAGAGAGATGGGACGAAAGAGAGATGGAATGAGAGAGAGAGAGAGAGATGGGACGAGAGAGAGAAGGAATGAAAGATAGTGAGATGGAACGAGAGAGAGATGAAATGAGAGAGGGAGAGGGAGCGAGAGATATCAAGATGGAACGAGAGAGAGAGAAATGGAACGAGAGAGAGAGCGTAAAAGATGTCAAAACGTGTTCGCTGCACGTGGGTTGCTCTGCCTCCGCACATTTAATAATGCATGGCCCTTCCTCGCTGAAGCGCTGCGTGTCCATTAGAGTTGGACACGCAGAAGTACATGGCGATACATTTTTGTCTTTATGATCTTATTTATACACAGCGAGTACTTAGACTCGCGAGTGAGTAGCTTAGCCTTTGTCGACGGAATTTTGCAATAGTATTAGTATACAGATAGCAAAACCGTAGCATTCTATGCGAGGAAGACCGGCAGCAATTGTTGTAAATACCTGCATTTGGTTCATGAACGCACAAAGACAAAGCTCCCCCTTATAGCCATAAGCCTACTTTTGGGGCAAGTGCTGTTAGCGAGCACCTAGCTAAAGACCGGAACGGCACACGATGGGGAGGGTGATGGGTGACAGCGTCACGCATCCACGGCCGCCTTTGTCTCTCTAAGTGTCGGTGTTTACGCGTCAGTGCACTCGTTCCGCGCAAGGCTTCGGGACAAGGCCGATAAGAGAACTGGCCACCCAAGTTATCCTCAGCCTGAAATCAAGCCAGGATCGCCGGCTACACAGTTGGTTAATACAACCACCAATAATGTAACAACAACAGGACAACAACAACAGTACAACAACAGCACAACAACAACAAACAGCAACAAGAGTAGCTGCGTCGTAGTAAAGCAAATGTTGCTACAAAGACGTCCCGTACACGATTTGTAAACACAAACAACAACAATAATACTGCATCTTCTGGGTTCTATCGGTAAAGACCTCCAGTCCGAGCTCGTCGCTCTCCGTGGTGCTCATCCCTCACGCCAACATCATGCTGATCCCCCAGTCACATGCTAATTTATATGTAAACTCCTTTGTCAAGGCGCTCTGTTCCTCCCACACAGTTTAAAAGACGCTGTCAAGCTTGGCAGGGTTCACTCAAGCGCTGTCTTCCGGACAGTCCTGTTTCTTCACCTGAGGAAGGCTACTTGTGTTGTGGCCGAAACGTCGTGAGAATTTTATTCTGTTATTATTATTTTTATTATTTTATCTCCATTTTACGTGACTTTACCGAAAGAACCCAGAAGATGAATCCCTGCAGTCACGAAAGCTTTAACTCGAAAAATAATACTGCAGCAGCAACAATACATTTTATGATTAATAACTCACATATACAGTATACGTACATGGGACACACAGACACAGAGACGGGAGTTGAAGGTTATGTATGCACACACACAGATTAGGTATGCACACACACAGAGGAACACAATTGGAAAACACAAACAACAACGCAACGACGTTGATATGAACTTATATACGCACGGTAGATACGCAGTAGACAAAGAAACATTTCCCATTTCGCCTCTCCCAGACTTCCAAGGGAAAGGTTTGTTAGTGAGTACCTATGAAGGCACACGAGACGGTGTGAGTGGCCAGCACCGCCTTTGTCTCCCCAGTGCTGATGTTTACACACCGCACTGGGCAGGATACTCGTTTAAGGCCGAGTCGAGACAGGCGAGAGGCCCAGAACCGGTTCAGGTATTCGTGACCTATGTGACCTATGTGACCTATGTGACCTATGTGTCCTATGTGTCCTATGTGACCTATGTGACCTATGTGGCCTATGTGTCCTATGTGACCCATGTGACCTATGTGACCTATGTAGGCCTTGAGCGGGAATCGAACTCGGGTCTCTGCTGGGTTGGTAGCGCAGTGCAGCGCTGACCCGCGCGCACACACGCACGTGTACACACACACACACGTGTACACACACATATGTGTACACACACGTACACACACACGTGTACACACACACACGTGTACACACACACACGTGTACACACATGTGTGCACACACACACGTGTACACACACACACGTGTACACACACACGTGTACACACACACACGTGTACACACACACACGTGTACACACACACGTGTACACACACACGTGTACACACACACACACGTGTACACACACACGTGTACACACACACACGTACACGCGAGCTCGTGCTCACGTGCACACAACTCGATTTGGAGATGATGCAATAATATAGACACAAGCGCACACACACACAACACAACAAAGATACTCCGTATAGCCTTATCAGACTATTGCGGCAAGTGCTGTTAGCGAGCACCTATGAAGGCCGGCACCGGCACACGAGAGGATGTTTGGAAAGCGCAACGCCCGGCCGCCTTTGTCTCCCCAGTGGCGACATTTACACACCACATTAGGCACTCATTTGAGGCTGAGTCTACCTAGACTCAAATTTAGTTAATCACTGTCACTTATGTTGGCCATGAGCGGCAATTAAACTCGGGTCGCCGGGTTCGTAGCCCAGCGCGCTAACCGCTCCCCCAACAGACACACGCACACGAGGGCACGGGCACAACGATGTTACGTAAGCGGGTGTCTACAGCCACAAACTGCCCGCGCCGTGAGCCTGGCACGTCAATGCGCATTTCATCCGCGCAAGGCCCGAGACAGCGGCCAAGTGCACAAAGAGACCCGGCGGTTCGTGGCGTTCTTTCGGCCGCGAGGGGCATGCGGGCAGATTCGCGCCGATCGGACGAGTAATTGGCCAAACAAGCCGTGTGCGATTGTACGCACAGCGCCACGCACCCGCTCACTCGCTACGCTCACTCGTACATCGACAAAGATTCTCCCCGTATGGCCCTTAACAACACGCCGTTGGCGCAAGTGGTGTGAGTGAGCGCGCTCTAAGAAGGCCGGCACGGCCAGCCCACACGAGGGGAGTGGGTGGCCCGCACCGCCTTCGTCTCCCCAATGCTGATGTATACACACCGCCCTAGGTAATCATTTGAGGCTGGGTCAACCTAGGGGAGGCCCAGGACCGGTTCAGACAATCGCCGGATAATTGTCACCGTGAACGGGAATCAAACTCGGGTGGCCGGGTTGGTTGCGCTGCACGCTAAACCACCTCGCCGCACACGCGCCGCATGCAGTACACATGTTGCACATGCAGTACACATATTGCACATGCAGTACGCATGTTGCACATGCAGTACGCATGTTGCACATGCAGTACGCATGTTGCACATGCAGTACGCATGTGCAACATGTTGACATCGGGAACCCGGCGACTCCCAAGGGGAATGGCCAAACATTGTGGAGCAGCAGCCTCCTGTTCGAAGGGCCTTAAAGATCCTTATGGATTCACGAAAGAGGCATCGCATGATTGTGATATTGGAATACGTTAACATCGACAGCTCCTTTGTCTATCCACTGCTGCATGAAGGCTTCCCGCACACCGCGTCACAAACGGGGGGGGGTGGGTGGTGGTTTTGACCATACTTCACCAAGCTGGTCAGTGCGGGTTGGTTTTAAATGAAGGGGGGCGGGCGGGTTTAGGTATCACTCACCATCTAATGTTAATCCACGCACGACCGCCTTTGTCTTCCCAGCACTCGTGTTTACACATCTCACGAGACACTCAATTTCGGCCTAAGTGACCTTCGCCAGGCTCAGTACCGGTTCAGAGAATCACCACTGATATTAGCCGCGGCTAGGAATCTAGCTCAGATTGGTGGGTGGAGTGGTTGAAGGTGGGGGGGGGGGGGGGGGGGTGGGTCGTAGCGCAGTGTGTTAACCACTGCGCCACCACTCCATCAGACTGCCGTAACAATACACGCGCGCACACGGCGAACAGCTAATAACGCTGCTGCGACCTCTACACAAAAACACAGTGGGTCTCTGACAATTACCCACATGTAGCTTGCGTTGTGTCGCGGCCCCAGCAGTAAGGGGGGGGGGGGGGGTACGGCGCTTGCACTCACCATTGTGCGTAACACGGACGCTGATGCTGGTCCCTGTGTCGGAGAACGAGCGGGAGTGGATGTAGGGCGCATCGAGGCTGCTGTCGGACACTATGGCACTGGAGAAAGACGACAGGAAATCGTCCGTTTTCACCTTTTTCACGAGGAAAGAGCGCGGCATTGTGACTCGACGCCCCGTGCTGTGTCTCTTGCCGCCTGTGCTGTCTCTCCGCTGTTGCTGTCTGTCTATCTGTTGCTGTCTGTCTGCTCTCGCGTTACGTGTATGTTACCCCGTGCTGCTGTGCTGACGAGGCAAGGTTGCGTGATAGGCACAGCCACCAGGGCGTGCAGAGCGGACAGCGACACGGGCTGTGTTCAGCACCACGGACAGCGACACGGGCTGTGTTCAGCACCACGGACAGCGACACGACTGCGTTCAGCACCACGGTGAGCGTTCTTCCCCCTCCTCCTCTGGGCGACCCTGTGTGTGTGGATGGACGTGTGTGTATGTTCCGATTTCCTCTCCCGCTCTATCTCTCTTTCTCTCTCCCTCTATTTCCCTCTCCCCTCTCTCTCCCCCACTCTCTCTCTCCCTCTCTGCGGTCCTTCGTCTGTTACTGTGCCGGGGATGATGTCAGCGGCAGAGCCTATATACCCGCCTTGCCATCAGGTGGTAGGCTCGGAATGGAAATGCTTAACTCTAATCCATCAAATGTCCCATGGGAGCGTGCGATCTTCCAGCCGGGGAGGCTATAGAGGGAGTGTGTGCGGCGGCAGTGGTGGTGGGGGGGTGGAGGAGGAGGAGAAGGGGGGGGGGGAGAGAGGATGGGGAGGGTGCCTTGTGGTGGTGGTAGAGTGAGAGAGGAGGAGGGAGTGTTGGGGAGGGGGGCAGAAGGTGGTGGAGGGGGGGGGGGGTGTAGAGTGGGGCGGGGGCGCTTTTGATGTGTGGCTGACTGGCTGGCTGGAGTGAGTGGGGAGGCATTGCTTGGTGGGTGTATGTGACGTCGCTCCAATGGCGATGATGTGGGGGGCGGTGGATGTAGCGGGGGGTGGGGGGAGGTGGAAGTCTCTCTGCAGAGCCATTCATTGTGCATGCTGCTGCTGCTGCGCGCTAGTGGCGGCGCTCATTGCCCTGTTTTGTAGGAGGCTCTCGTAGCGCCACGCAAGCCGCTATGCGGTGTTTACACAAATGCAGCGCTCCGCTAACCTGATCGATAGACTCACGACTACAATATAACTGAACCCGGCCTCGGGGCTATGGACGTTAAAAGCGTTGGCTTATCCCACCACCACCACCACCACCACCTTCGCTCGTTCACTCGTCTGGCGTTCCGTGCGTGGCGTGTCGCTCGCTTCATATTTTTTTTTATTTGACACCTCCACCGCCTCCGTCGTCGCGTGGCTCTGGAGAGCCGCGCGCTTCGCCTGCCGCCGCGCATCCATCGTGAACGCGCCGCGCGTGTTCCGGTGGATGCGAGGCACAACGGAACACACACACGCACACACGCACACACACACGTGCACACACGCACGCACACACGCACACACACACATGCACACGCACACACGCACACACACGCACATACACACACGCACACACACACACACGCACACACACACACACACGCACACACGCACACACACGCACATACACACACGCACACACACACATGCACACATGCACACACGCACACACACATGCACACACGCACACACACACACACGCACACACGCACACATGCACACACGCACACACACACACACGCACACACACACACACGCACACACACACACACGTGTTGTTGTTGTTGTTGTTGTTTTCTTTCACTACCCCTTTCCGCGCCGTATCCATCAGGGCAGAGAGTCTCTCGCACGGCCCTCGAAGCCTCGCGTCTCGCCGGCTACGTCATCGCTCCTGTCCGAGTCGCCGTGACACGAAGGCGTCGGCGTCGTTCCCCCCCCCCCCACATGGCCTTTGTTAGCCGCGGGAAAGACCTTGAATTGAGTTGGACATTAGTGGCATTTTATATACGCGGGGTTATGGACCAATAAACGGAGAGCGGAGTATCCGAGGGAGGAGGAGTGAATCTGCGTACGTAATAACCACTGCCATCATCATCCTATCCAAGGACGTACAAAAAAATTAGAATATTGAGAGGATAAGCACAATTTTGGTCATTAGCGCCGTCATTCTCTATCTGGGCAATATTGATTCACGTTATAGTCGTGGGGGTTTTTTTCTCTCTCTTTTTTTTTCTCTCTCACACACACACACACACAATGTCCTTCACTTGACCACTGGGACGCTCATCCCCAGGAGGAACATTCGGGGGCTTGGTAATTACACACGCAGTCTATCTACTACTACTACACAGCACGCACGCACACGCGCACACACGCACACACACGCTGAGGTTTATCCATCTGTACTGCGGCAGCCACCACCACGCGCTGCTATTGGGATATATACGGGGGGGGGGGGTGGGTGCCAGCAGCTACGCGTGAATGGCCGTGATTATTGTGTCTGTGTACTCCATTCTTCATCGCGACAGCAAAAATAGTGATGGGATGAATATGATCTGAGCCACTTAACGGAATGGGGGTTGTGCCACGCGTGGAGGGCTTCGGCGCAGCGGGGCGCGTCATGGAGCCGTCGCGCGTGCAGGTGAGGGGCGCCGCAGACGCACGTCGCCCACAGCTGTTGCCGCTGCTGATGGTGCTGCTGATGGTGCTGCTGATGGTGCTGCTGATGGTGCTGCTGATGGTGCTGCTGATGGTGCTGGTGTGATGCTGCTGATGGTGCTGCTGATGGTGCTGCTGATGGTGCTGCTGCTGGTGCTGGTGTGATGCTGATGGTGCTGCTGATGGTGCTGCTGATGGTGCTGGTGTGATGTTGCTGATGGTGCTGGTGCTGCTGATGGTGCTGCTGATGGTGCTGCTGATGGTGCTGCTGATGGTGCTGGTGTGATGCTGCTGATGGTGCTGGTGCTGCTGATGGCGCTGATGGTGCTGCTGCTGATGGTGCTGCTGCTGGTGCTGGTGTGATGCTGCTGATGGTGCTGCTGATGGCGCTGATGGTGCTGCTGATGGTGCTGCTGCTGGTGCTGGTGTGATGCTGCTGATGGTGCTGGTGCTGCTGATGGCGCTGATGGTGCTGCTGCTGCTGGTGCTGGTGTGATGCTGCTGATGGTGCTGGTGCTGCTGATGGCGCTGATGGTGCTGCTGATGGTGCTGCTGCTGGTGCTGGTGTGATGCTGCTGATGGTGCTGCTGATGGCGTTGATGGTGCTGCTGATGGTGCTGCTGCTGGTGCTGGTGTGATGCTGCTGATGGTGCTGGTGCTGCTGATGGCGCTGATGGTGCTGCTGATGGTGCTGCTGCTGATGCTGCTGATGGTGCTGGTGTGATGCTGATGGTGCTGGTGCTGCTGATGGCGCTGATGGTGCTGCTGATAGTGCTGCTGCTGCTGGTGCTGGTGTGATGCTGCTGATGGTGCTGATGGTGTTGTTGGTGCTGCTGCTGGTGCTGCTGGTGCTGCTGGTGCTGGTGCTGATGGTGTTGTTGGTGCTGCTGGTGCTGCTGCTGGTGCTTCTGGTGCTGATGATGGTGCTGATGATGGTGCTGCTGGAGCTTTAACTCGGACGGACAAAAGATAAATCGCACCAGCTAAAGAATTCATTGCGCAAGAGTTACGTCGGCCACCTCTTCCTTGCAAAGGCAAAATACCGGAAGAATCCCGCGAAGTCCTGGGGCTCCACGAGTCACGACACGTTCTCGTTTAAGTCCATAGGCCGATTGGGATATGGGGAACAAAGTCATCAAATAGGAGCACTTGCGTAATTAAGCGAACTCTGCACTGGTTTTGACTTTCTAGGTCTCGTCAGTAGAGTCAGGCTTGTTAATGAAGAAACTCCGCTCGATTATCGGATGTCATTGGCAACAGCACTCCGTATGAAGAAACTGTGAGTTTCCGGTTCAGCGCAAAACAGCAATACCGTTTGTGTACAGAGACAAAGATACCCCGTATAACCACCACATGCAGTTGGCGCAAGTGCTATTAGCGAGTGCCTATGAAAGCTGGCACGGCGCACTAGACGAAAGGATGATGTTGCTAGGACCACACGCACCCGGCCGCCTCTTGTCTCCGCGGTGCGAATGTTTCGACGCATATCGCACCGAGCACTCATTTAAGGCTGAGTCGACCTAGGAGGGGAGGACAGGGGACCAAGCAGGTTGTGACGTCGCCACGTGGCGCTGTGGTGAACGCATTCGACTTCCGATCTGAGCACGTGAGTTCTAATCCCAAGTTGAGTGGTCGACTCCGCTACTTAGAAGATCGCTCCTTGATGTTGTTCGCCAGCCTGTTGCCCTTGCAGCAACCGCACAGAGACAGAGATATAGACTTAGTAGACTGTTGCAGCAAGTGATGTTAGCCAACACCTATGAAGGCCGTTAGGGCACACGAGGGGGTGGGTGACCACCATCGCGCACGACCGCCTTTGTCTCCCGAGTGACGATGTTTACACACTTTACCAGGTGCTCATTTTAGGCCGCGTCGACCTCGGGGAGGCCCGGGACCGGTTGAGATATTCGCCACCGATGTTGACCGTGAGAGGGAATCAATCTCGGGTCACCCACCCACACACCCACGCACACACACCCAGACACACAACCACACACCCAGACACACACCCACACAACCAGACGCACACCCAAGCACACACACCCACACACCCAGACACACACCCACACACCCAGACACACACCCACGCACACACACCCAGACACACACCCAGACAAACACCCACACACCCACCCACACACCCAGACACACACCCACACACCCAGACACACAACCACACACCCACACAACCAAACGCACACCCACACACCCAGACACACACCCACACACCCAGACACACACCCACGCACACACACCCAGACACACACCCACACACCCAGACACACACCCACACACCCAGACACACACCCACACAACCAGACGCACACCTACGCACACACACCCACACGCCCAGACACACACCCACACACCCAGACACACACCCACGCACACACACCCACACACACACACACCCAGACACACACCCACACACCCAGACACACACCCACACAACCAGACGCACACCTACGCACACACACCCACACGCCCAGACACACACCCACACACACACCCACACACCCACACACCCACACACCCAGACACACACCCACACACACACCCAGACACACACCCACACACCCAGACACACACCCACACACCCACACACACACCCAGACACACACCCACACACCCACACACACACCCAGACACACACACCCAGACACACACCCACACACACACCCAGACACACACCCACACACCCAGACACACACCCACACACCCAGACACACACCCACACACCAACACACACACGCCAAGGCAGACACACACCCACACACCCAGACACACACCCACACCCCAGACACCCACACCCAGACACACACCCAGACACACACCTACACACACACCCAGACACACACCCAGACACCCACACCCAGATACACACACACACCCAGACACACACCCACACACCCAGACACAAACCCACACACCCAGACACAGACACACACCTACACACACACCCAGACACACACCCAGACACCCACACACACACCGAGACACACACCCACACACACACCCAGACACACACCTACACACACCCAGACACACACCCACACACCCAGACACACACCCACACACCCAGACACCCACACCCAGACACACACCCAGACACACACCTACACACACACCCAGACACACACCCAGACACCCACACACACACCCAGACACACACCCACACACACACCCACACACCCAGACACACACCCACACACCCAGACACACCCCCAGACACACACCCACACACCCAGAAACACACCCACACACCCACACACCCACACACCCAGACACACACCCACACACCCAGACACCCACACCCAGACACACACCCAGACACACACCTACACACACACCCAGACACATACCCAGACACCCACACACACACCCAGACACACACCCACACACACACCCAGACACACACCCACACACACACCCAGACACACACCTACACACACCCAGACACACACCCACACATCCAGACACACACCCACACACCCAGACACCCACACACAGACACACACCCAGACACACACCCAGACACACACCTACAACAACAACAACCGCCATTCGCCACTAAGTGGCGGTGACGTCACCACGACGCTTGTGCCAGGCTATGTGCACCCTGAGGCCACGTGAAGTGTCGAACGCCCGCTGGCAGGAGGTCACGGGGCAGACCCAGGTGCCACGGGTCGACTGACTGAGATGACTGGCTGATGCACCACCTGTGCCCCCTACTGTGCCAACCTGCTGTGCTTTAGCCACCCGGCGCTCCGCTCGCTGTTGTGAGCGTCGCTCCTCCGCCCTCCGTTGTTGTTGGAGGCCGACTGCCTCCAACTGCCCAGTAGCATCCTTCACGAGCCTCCTCCACAGAGGCCGATCTTGACACCGCTGGTACCAGTCATCGGCAAGTCCACTCAGCTCCACGTCCTCCTGTACCACATCACTCCATCTCTTCTCTAGCCCGTGCCGCGCCCGCTTAGCCCCCTCAATCCGGCCAAACAAAAGCTGTTTCGGCATGCGGTGGCTGGGCATGCGGGCTACATGACCCAGCCATCGCAGCCTTGCCTGCCGGAGGAGCTCACCGATGGGACCCTGCCCAGATCTTTCAAGGATTTGTGAGCTCCTCACACAATCCAGTCTGGTTAAACCCAGGATGGATCGTAGGCAGGCCAGCCTAAATGTTTCTAACCGGCGAAGATGTTCCATTAGGGGGGTCCACGTTTCGCAAGCGTAGAGAAGGGAGGGAATGACCGTGGCCGAGAAGACCTGAAGCTTAGTGCGGAGCGACAGACCAGGTAGCTTCCACACAGCGTTACGCAACCGATGAAAAGATATTGCCGCTCGACTGATTCGGAGTGAGACCTCTGCTGTTAAACTGGAGCCAGTCATAAGCACACTGCCCAGGTATGGGAAACTCTCCACTCTCTCCACAACTGCCCCATCACCGATTGGGAGTTGTGGGGGTGGAGTGTCCGATGGTACAAAATACCCAGGCAGGTGCTTAGTTTTGGTGGGGCTGATGGTAAGGCCCCACCTCTTAGTGGCACGCTCCAGTCTCAGCAGCAGCGTCTCCAACTCCTCCTCTGACTGAGCAGCTATTACCAAGTCATCAGCATACATAACGTGGTTGAGCAATAGGGAGCCATCCCTTGACCGCACCCGGGCATCGATTAGCCTCCCATTATATCTGTACCATATGGAGATTCCCCCGGTACAGCTATTGAAGGCTTCACGAACTACGTGGTCAAAATAGATGTTAAATAATGTGGGAGCCAGAGGACATCCCTGTCGCACCCCAAGGTGTACAGGGAATGGCTCTGACTCCCGGCCACGTAGTTTTACCCGGGCCCGCTCACCATCATGAAGGTCCTTAATGATCGTGAGCAGAGGGTCAGGTACTCCAAAAGCACGAAGAACGACCCAGAGCCCAGGCCTACTGATGGTATCATAGGCCTTGACCAGGTCAATAAAGCAGAGATGTAGGTCTTGTTGGAATTCCCTACACCTCTGCTGTAGCAGACGGACAGAAAATATGGCATCTGTGCAGGACCGCCCTTTCCTGAAACCTACACACACACCCAAACACACACCCAGACACCCACACACACACCCAGACACCCACACACACACCCAGACACACACCCACACACACACCCAGACACACACCTACACACACCCAGACACACACCCACACACAGACACACACCCAGACACACACCTACACACCCACACACAGACACACACCCAGACACACACACACACACTGTGTACGCGCTGCTTCCTACGGCACTGAGCATGCTTTCATCCCTGCGCACAATGCACCGCATGCACTCTGTTAAGCAGCAGCAACGGCAGCAGCAACAACAGCCGCAGCAGCAACAACAGCAGCCGCAGCAACAGCAGCAGCAACAGCAGCAGTAGCAGCAGCAACAGCAGCAGCAGTAACAGCAGCCGCAGCAGCAACAGCAGCAGCAACAGCAGCAGTAGCAGCAGCAACAGCAGCAACAGCAACAGCAGCAGTAACAGCAGCCGCAGCAGCAGCAACAGCAGCAGCAACAACAGCAGTAGCAGCAGCAGCAACAGCAGCAGGTCCGCAGTGATTCATAATCCGTGGCTCTTCACCGAGTTGTGTCATTGTGATGTAAATACGTCAGCGGCTGCGGCAACACACACACACATAGTGTGTTACACACACACACATAGTGTGTTTGTGTCACACACACAGTGTGTGTGTTACACAATGTTATGTAACCCGACCTGCGGGCCCGTTGCGTCCGGGTTACACAACGCCTTTTGTTGGATTATTCTTGGTGCGCTCTGCTAAATATATAGCGCAAGCGAACAATTTACCGGATGCGGTGGAACAGATGTACGCGTGTGTTTGTGTGTGTGCGTGCGTGCGTGTATCTGTGTGTGCTTGTGTGTGCATGCGTGTGTGTATGTGGGGAGCGATGTGTAGCGGTTAGCACGCTGCGCTATGAACCTGGCGACCCGGGTTCGATTCCCGCTCACGGCCAATACCAGTGACGATTATCTGAACCGGTCCCGGGCCTCCCCTAGGTCGACTCAGCCTCAAATGAGTACCTGGTGCGGTGTGTAAACATTGCCACTAGGGAGACAAAGGCGGTCGGGCGTGCTGCTGGCCACCCACCCCTTCGTGTACCGTTCCGGCCTTCATAGGTGCTCGCTAACAGCACTTGCCCCTACAGGCTGTTAAGGCTATATGGGGGATCTTTTTTGTGTGTATGTGCGTGCGTGTGTCTGTGTGTGCGTGTGTCTGTGTGTGCGTGTGTCTGTGTGTGCGTGTGTCTGTGTGTGCGTGTGTGTATGTGCGTGCGTGTGTCTGTGTGTGCGTGTGTGTGTCTGTGCGTGCGAGCGGTGGCCCAGTGGTTAGCGCGCTGTGCTACGAAACCCCGGCGGACCGTGAGTTCGATTTCCGCTCACGGTAATCGAACTCACACCGGTGACGATTATCTGAACCGGTACCTGGGCCTCACTTTGGTCGACTCAACCTCAAATGAGTACCTGGTGCCATGTGTAAACATCGTCATTAGGGAGACAAAGGCGGTCGGGCGTGGTGCTGGCCACCCATCCCCTCGTATACGGTGCCGGCCGTCATTTGTTCACGCTAACAGCACTTGCCCCAACAGTCTGTCAAGGCTACACGGGGGTCTTTGTCTTTCTTTGCGTGCGAGCAGAAGCTGATTGCGATTCCTGAACACCGCCACCAGCACAAGTGACGATCATCTGCACCGGCCCTAGGCCTCCCCTGGTGCAGTGTGTAAACATCGCCACGAGGAAGACAAAGGCGGTCGGGAGTGGTTCTGGCCTCTCACCCCCCCCCCCCATCTCGCGTGCCTTTGTAGCTTGGTGCTGCTGCTGTGTGAATCGTCGTGCCAGGTGGCGACGGTTCCGGGAGGGCTTTCATCCAGCAGTGGATTTGACCATGGCCGATGCTGCCTATGATGATGAAGATGATGCTGAGAATGGAACGTTTATTGGGAGTTTCAATGAACTGTAACTCACAACTCGCAATCGTGATAGTAATGCCAGTGTCCTTTAATCGGAATGCCCGTTACCAGCCAATGTTCACGACCCTCACGCTCTCTGTGAGCCGCGTCTTTTGTCCAAGACATTGAGCTATGTCCATGATATCTACTCAAGAACTGTTGCATTCGATACTGACTCACAGTTGTATCCAACCAGTGGCGTCGTCGTCGCTACGTCATCAGCTCAGGTGGTGTGGCAATCGGTCAGGTGCCGCCCCCCCCACCCCCCAATATTTGATTCCTCTCGCACGGTGGCACTTATAGGCTTATTATTATTATTTTACATTGCGTCTCTTCTTGCCTAATCGCATCGCTATACACGATTGTTGTTATTTTACACTGCTGGTGAATACATCATCGCGTCGTGGTTGTCAAGGGGGGCGCCAGCTCATAGCTTTGGCCACCAGGGAGAAGGGGGTGGGGGGGGGGGCAAGGCACCCCCTGCCTGCCCCCCACGCTCGTTACGCCACCACTGCATCCCACCGTTCAAATCGCTTCTGGGAAAACTTAAGCCGCTGCCTTCCGCAGGACACCTCCTAGAATGTCCCCGGTCACAGCCACACTCACGGCAGAGCCTCTTTGTTTTCTCATTACAAGTCCACGAAATATAATCCTACCCTCCTCCCCCAGTGATTCTTATTTATGTTACCGTACTTACACCCCCCCACCACCACCCCCGCTATATCCGTAATGCCTCTCTGTTTCTCAGCCAGCGTCTGTCTACGAACCTCTTCAACAATAACACTGCCCTCCTAACAAGGGGCGGTGGCCGCTGGTGGTGTTTGTGGTGGTGATGTGTGTGGTGGTGGTGTGTGTGGTGGTGTGTGTGGTAGCGTGTGTGTGGTGGTGTGTGGTGGTGTGTGTGGTAGTGTTTGTGTGGTGGTGTGTGGTGGTGTGTGTGTGTGTGGTTGTGTGGTAGTGTGTGTGGTGGTGTGTGTGGTAGTGTGTGTGGTAGTGTGTGTGGTGGTGATGTGTGTGGTGGTGATGTGTGTGGTGGTGTGTGTGGTGGTGTGTGTGTGGTGGTGTGTGTGTGTGTGTGTGTGGTGGTGTGTGTGGTGTGTATGGTGGTGTGTGGTGTGTGTGATGTTTGTGTGGTAGTGTGTGTGGTGGTGGTGTGTGTGGTGGTGTGTGGTGGTGATGTGTGTGTGTGGTGTGTGTGTGTGGTAGTGTGTGTGGTGGTGTGTGTGGTGGTGTGTGGTGGTGTGTGTGGGGGTGTTGGGGGGGGGGGGTGATACAAACGTCGCAAGGCTGCAGCGGTGCGCGTATCTCCGAAGCAAAGCGGAGTATGGGTCGAGTCTGCGGGGACTGCCCTCAACGCGGGCGCATCGGTCACCCTTCCGCACTGCCTCTCAGCCTTCACCAACCCGCACTCACCAGCGTGGTGAAGTATGGTCAGTTAACTTCCACCCCCACCCTCAACCCCACCGGCATGGCCTGCAAGGCGTGGGTAAGGGCCCTCATCCAGCAGTGGATTGACGAGACACGCGGCTTGTACACGGGCTCGCTATGGGTACGCACGCCACGCGATCTGCAGTTGCTGTCCAGTAAACGAAGCTAAACAAATGTGTGAGACTGCGTTGGCACAAACAACAACAACAGCAACAACTCAACCAACACATTCCGTCAACAACACTGCCGACGTTTCGGGGTAATGGCCCTTCTGCACGGCAGTGCCACGTCTGCACTTTAACGCTGTGTCGAGAGATAATTATTGCCCTATTACTAAATACTCACCCGCCCACAGAACAGCGCAATGACAAAGACCACCCCCCCCCCGCCCCGTATGGCCTTTAACAGACTGTTTGGTGCTGTTCGCGAGCACCCTATGAAGGCCGGGAGGGCACACGACGGGGGTTTCGTGGCAGGCACCACGCCAAAGACAAAGCTTACCCGTATAGCCTTTGAACAAATTGTTGGGGGCAAGGGCTGTTAGCGAGCACCCTATGAAGGGTGCACGCGGTGGGTCGCACAAAAAAAAGACAAAGCTCACCCGCGTAGCCTTTTAACAGACGGTCGGGGCACGTGTTGTTAGCGAGCACCCTTTAACAGGGGGATCGCACACACACCCCCCCCCCCATCCTACATACACACCCCACACTGACACACACACAGAGGGAGGACCACAATCCAATTCACTGTCGCACAATGCCCGGTGGTAGCATTAGCATAAGCCAATTATGTGGGGGCGAGCACCGCTTGCTCGTATATCTGCCACTGGCCAAACTCTTCGTCGCCCACTTCAATCGAGTGCCATTGAGAGACGCGGAGTGGGGGATCGAGTGCGGAGCGAGCAAGACAATGGACCCCCCCCCCTCTCTCAGAGGTCGATGCAATCTCGCGCATCCGTTTCAAACGGCGCAGAGCGGGGGGGGGGGGCTGTGTTGGCTGTGTCGGGTGGTGGTGGGTTTAACGACACATTAATAATAATTGGGGTTTTCCCCGTTTTTCTGGCAACAAAACTGAAACCGTTTTAACAAGGAATCATGTGTGCATTAACCACAATACTTGTGGTCAAAATGCAAATAAAAAACACACTCTGATAATACACACATGATGCCTTGTAAAAAGGTTTCAGTTTTGTTGCCAGAAAAAAGGGGGAAAACCCTTTTATTATATTGTGGTACTGACAAAGGAGGTCTAATGAGACACATTAATATTTACGCGATATAACACACCGCCTCCCCAACCCCCCCCCCCCCCTTGTATTGTGGATGATATTGGTCGCGAAAAGCCTTCGTGTTGAGCTGACCCTCCTTGTTTTGCACAGGCACGTCGGGCAGCGGAACCTGCATTGGTGCGAGCGAGCGTTGGATCTGCCGCCGTGAGTCACCGAATGTCCGATCTCGTCCGTGTCCAGGGTCGAGGAGTCCCTCTGGAGCAGCTGTGGGTTCTCAACCGGGGGGTCACGCGGACCCCTGCGGTGACGTGGCAATGTCCCAGCGGGCTTGCGCTAAGCGATTTCGAAAAAGTGTGACATTATATCGTACACGAGATCCGTCAATCAGCCAACATAAGACAACGACGATGACAGCTAAATATCCACGTGGTAACCCAGCAAGATATAAAAGACCGCTCTAAACGCGTTAATAGTAAACAACGTCGCTCACCACGAATTACCGGCGAACACGAGCAAATGACGGCCCGCGTGAAGAGCGTCTGTTGTGTGTTTTCTTATTCGCTTGCGGTTACTTAGCTGGTTAGGATACCTCACAAAGTGGACAATTGGTTAAACTAGTGACGGTCATTATGCAGCACATTTATTTCTCTGGATCATGTTGGGTTAACAAGGGAGGGTGGGTGGGAGAACTACAGTAGTATCCAAACAAAGAGTTGATAACCACTGCTCTATCTTGATTTGAAGCTTTCGTGACTGCAGGAATCCATGCTCTTTGGTTCTTTCGGTAAAGTCACGTGGGTAGCAGACATCGCAACTGTCGCGATTTTCACCTGAAGACGGCCGCTTGTGTTGCGTTCGAAACGTCGTGATCTATTTTATGTTTATTTCGACCTACGTAACTTTACCGAAAGAACCAAAGAGGATCCACGGCTCTAATGGAGCCGATGCTGTTCGCAACAACAAAAAAAGACGCACTTCTCGGAAGGCGTGCCCCGTGGAGAGACAAAGACGGGAAGGAGGAATGTTGGCCGATGTTGTCGTATTGTTATTTTGAGACTCTCCGTAACAACGCTCAATGATCAGGCCCAGGTGGCGGTTCAGGGGGGTTGTGGTTTTTAGTTTTGAGCTTGTAAACGCGATACAGAATTAGTGAATTAGTGAAGCCCTCCCCACTCATTGACAACAGCTTTGTCCATCCTCTCCACAGCTGGGACATCCGATTATTATTATCACCAGTAATCGATTACTCTCCAGATTATCGGTTGGATATACTCGATTGATCGGATAACACGATGTTTTAGAGGTGTGCCGCTGGACTGGAGGTGCTGGGCGGGACTCATATGGAGATGTCCTGCCTTCGTGAGACAGGATATGGAGGTAGCTGCCAAATTTTAAGAGACAATTTTTTTTTATCGATCAGCGGATTGCAATTGTGAGTGAATTAATCGATGCTAATCGACTGCTCGTCCCAGCTATTAAACCGTATTTCGGCACTGCAATAGAGACATCATCGTCCTCATCGGCCACGATCAATCCACTGCTGGATGAATCCGTAAACCGTTGCCATCGCGGTCCTCCGATGCAACAATCCACGCAGCACCTCGCGTGGAATAAGTCGCAGGTTACGGTGTACCGAGACGACATTGACCAGCGAGGTGAAGTATGGTCAAATATCCCCCGACAACCCGCACGGCGTTGGGAGGCCCTCATCCAGTTCCACGCCCGGCCGCCTTTGTCTCTCCAGTGCTGATGTTTAATACACACCGCACCAGGCACTCATTTAAGGTGCAGTCGACCTAGGGGAGGCCCAGGACCGGTTTAGATAATCGTCACTGGTGTTGGCCGTGAGCAGGAATTGAATCCGGGTCGCCGGCTTCGTAAAGCAGCGTGCTAACCACTGCGCCACCGCTCCTCCCCCCCCACACACAAACACACACACGCAGAATCACACAAACACACGCAGAATCACACACACACACGCAGAAACACACAAACACACACACACGCAGAATCACACAAACACGCAGAAACACACACAAACATACACACGCAGAATCACACAAACACACACGCAGAAACACACAAACACGCAGAAACACACACAAACACACACACGCAGAATCACACAAACACACACGCGCAAAAAACACACAAACACGCAGAAACACACACACACGCAGAATCACACAAACGCACACGCAGAAGCACACAAACACACACACATGCAGAAACACACACACGTAGAAACACACACACACAAACACACACACACGGAGGCCACCACAGGCAATATAAATACACAACGCGCTGCACGCTTCAAAGCCCTAAACAGCGATAGGAATTCATAAAATGGATTTTAATGAAGCCAGACACCAAGGCCTACAATTCTTCCTTCCACGGCAGCTTTGCTGCATTACAGGTGCCAGGCTCTTTGCCGCGATAAGCTTCCGATAGGGTCAGCGGCGAGCAATTATTACAGGGGGTGCGTGTACGCGCGTGTTTCTGTTCGCGTGTGTGTCTGTCTGTGTCTGTGCGCGCGCACGCGTGTGTGTTTATCTTCATTGGCCTGGCCAGGGGTGATAGAGGAGAGATATATTCTGAGCAAAAGAGTCGCACAATGTTGATTAATGTAGCTAACAGCGGAGGGGGAAAAAATAAAATCAATCAGTGGCGTTCCACCCGCGGCATAGTCGAATGCTTCAGACGGCGCGGGCAAACTTCATGATAAAGTTGCTTGGGCGATATCGCGTCTACGCAAATGTGTCGTAAACACACCTACACCCGACACTTACAATTTTTGTGTCCGACGTTTCGCTGGTGATGTTGTGGGTGTGCTCTCCGACACACACTCGGTGGTGCTGAAGTTGTAACTAATCGGCACGTTTCGATCACGTGACCAAACCTTACACATCGTCTGTGTCGGGTGGAGGTGGGGTCACGACACATTGACGTGAAGGCAATCTAACCCACAAGAAAAAAAAACCCCGTTATCATGATTAATAATAATGATCGCCAAAACAGCGTGCATTTTCTTAGCGGTAGTCAACATATTGCAAACCGAAAGAACCAAAGAGTATGGATTCCTGCGGTCACGAAAGCTTCAAATCAAGCTACAACCTCACTTATCCGACAGTCGCATATCCG